GATGGTCGCGACTCCACTCGTAAATGTCGTTCTCGAGGGCCAGTATATGCATGAATGCCAACAGTATCTGAAGGGGCAGTTTGGCCTTATAGGTCCGGTGGCACCACAACCTATGCGCCCCACACTTCACGGCAATTGTAATTGGATTTAAGGAAATATAACAATTATATTGGTGTTTAAAAAGTTCATTTATTGCTAATTATAGTTGTAATAAACTCTATCCAATGTGCATAAAATAGTGTTCAAATATGACATATCATACCTGAATACCAAATGATGAAAGCAGTGCCACGAAAAACATGAAATAAACGGTCGTCGGTTGGGCAAAAAACATACCCAGGTATAAACCATAGAGACCCGACAGGTGTACTATAATCATAAGTATTACATTGCGCCAGACCAGTTCAAGTTTATATTCAGGTTTTGGTTTGGCATCAATTTCAGTGCCATTTTTGAAACCAATTTCATTATTATTATTAGAGGTATGGGTTTCAGTAGCTGATGACTGGGTCCTAATTTAAAGTTTAATGTATTTAATTAAAAAACAAGTAATCTTTATTTATTTTAAAACTTACATGGCTATGATATAAATCTGCAATGTATAACTTGACTTTATATTATATATAAATCAAGAAATCTCTTTATAAAGGTGTAAAATAAATAAATAAATATTTCCAATCAATCAAATTAAGTAAATGTATATTTGCATTAGTTTTTTTATATTTATACTAAATAAATGAGTATATTATTTACGTCAACAAGTTATATTATCAAGTATAAATCAAAAATTATAATTTTCAGACTTACATTAAATGATAATTATAACTTTTATTCCTTACTTTAATGGTTTTTATAATTAATATGCAAAACCTTAATAGATAAATACATCAGAAAAACCGATGTTTATGTTAATAAAAATTAAATGATAAGAATTATAGACAACAATTAATACTAACAACTATTGGTAAACTAATAATTATTTAGTGGTGGAAATTTTCCCTTTCATATAATACATCATTATTTGACTTATTTTTATGTAAACAACATTTAACTGTATTATATTTGTAATGAAGTAAAGCATTTATGCAAAACTCAAAATTTTTATCAAGAGTAAAAATTGAATTTAAAAAGCTATTTTAAAAAGACAAACAAAAACACATTTTATAAGTTATTCAAAAATAAAATATTCTTTAATTTTATATCCTTTATATAATTCACTACTAAAAGGAGTGAATAAATAAATGTAAGCTTTTTAAACATTGCATTAAAATCTTAACCAAAATTAATCTTAAATCATTTTAAGACTTATAATAATGGATTTGACATCTCGTGCGTCGCCGACACCTCCCGCGAAGAGACCGGTGGGTCGACCCAAGAAGCCGATGGACATTGAGAGTCGG